CCGCCCGCCGCGCCCACGTCCACGGCCGTCGCCACGTTTGGCCAGTCCCTGCCCGGAGCCGTGCGGACCGCTGCCAGCAGCAGCAGCGGCGGCGCCTCCTGCCTCAGCGGCTTTGGCAGCGGCCTCAGCACGCCCGCCCCCGCCACCAGCAGCCCGCCGGCGCCGACCTTTACCACCACCGCCGCCGCCCCGGCCTTCCACATTCCCTTCGGCTCAAGCACCAAGCCTGCGCTGCCTTCGTACCCGGGCGCCAACCCCCAACCCGCATTCGGGGCCGCCGACGGGCAGCCACAGGGGGCCACCAAGCCCGCCCTCGGCCCCAGCTTCGGCAGCTCTTTCACTTTCGGGAACTCCGCAGCCGCGACCCCGGCGCCCGGCCCGGCGCAGCCTGCCTTTGGCGGCGCCGCACCATCCAGTTTCGGCAGCTTGAAGCCCGCCGCCTCCGCCTTCGGCACCCCCGCCGGCACCCAGCCTGCCTTCGGCGGCAGCGCGCCTGTGTTCTCCTTCGGGGTGGCCACCACCTCCGGCTTTGGGGCCGCGACCCAGACCACCAGCAGCGGGACCAGTAGCTCCATGTTTGGCGGCACGACGCCATCGCCCTTCACGTTTGGAGGATCTGCCGGCCCGGCCGGCAGCGGGGGCTTTGGGATCCACGTGGCCACCCCGGGCACCTCCGGAGCGTTCAGCTTTGGCACGGGACAGAGCGGGACCACCAGCGGCACGACCCCTTTCGGAGGAGGCTTGAGTCAGAGCACGTTGGGCGGACCCAGTCAGAGCACACCCTTTGCCTTCAATGTGGGCAGCACCCCTGAGAGCAAACCTGTGTTCGGAGGTAAGATCGGGAATGGCCTTGGTCGGCCGCAGCAGGCGCCGACCTAAGTGCCGGGATTAGTTTCCTAACTTAGAGAGCTTCCCGGTCTGGCCGGGACGAGGCTGGTGGTCAGTGGTTAAATACAAGTTCAGGGAGCAGGAGGCGTCAGGTAGAAGGCAGGGCGTCATGAGTGGCTGTGGAGGGGCTTTTCAGGTAGTCAAGGGGGGCAGGCTCTTCTGAGGAAATTTAAGCCAAGTCTATATCTGGGTTGTGCACAAGGGTTGGGAGTGTGGGTGGGTATGTGTGTGTGGGAGAGTGCTTTTGGGGCACAGGGGAGGCAGTGCAAAGGCCCAGAAGCAGGAGCAAGCTCCGTTCATTCAGGAACACAGAAAAACAAAGTGTGGCTCAAGGATCTGAAAATGGAAATGATCCAAAATGCTGTGGGGAGGCAGGCGGAGTTGAAGGTCATTCAGGGCCAGAGTTAAATTTGGATTTTAAGTAGGAAGGGAGGTCCTTGTAGAATTTAAGGAGAAGAATGAAGGGATTGTATCTGCCCTGCAGAAGGTGACTTACAAGTTCTTGGCCTGATGGTTTCTATTCTCAAATGAGAATAGAATGGAGAGGGCCACAGGGACTGGACTGGGGAGCTGTGGGTACAGGGAGGGCCTCTCGAAGTGGTTGAGAGAGTGGGAACAAGCACATAATGAGATTCTGGTAGAATTGCCAGGAAGCTCTAGAGCACCGGAGAACTGGGTTTATGAATTTGAGGTGAGGCCAGCCCACACTGCTAGGTCATTCCTCAGCAGCGTTCACACGTGAGCACACAGGGCAGGGGAGACCCCGCCTGTGTCTGCTTTAGTAGGTTCCCGCAGCAAGGACACGGGGGCACGCTGGGACGGGAGGGCTCCGTGACCTGGGGGCCCTCTGGGAACTTGGAGGGCCCCTGATGGTTGGCAGGGGTGACTGGGACGGCGCAGGGGTGGAGGCAGACAGGGAGATGGCAAGGTCAGGAGTGAGGAGGCCCGCCCTCCTCTGAGGGCTGTCGGGAGGCAGCGGCGGGACTGGACAAGGCCAGAGGCAGTCTGGTGTGGCTGTGGGAAGGCGAGGGGACCCACGGGTGGGGGGCTCAGGTTTCTGGAGGGAGGGGAAACCGGGAGAGGCGGCAGAACTCAGTGGTGTCGGAGGGAAGTAACCTGGTCAGGCTGGAAGGCGGGGGTCTGCTGAGCGTCCCTCCTGTGCTCTGCCGGTCGCGGGAATGCGGAAAGAAAGATTCTGCTCCTTAGGCCAGAAGGCAGCACTGCGGGGCTGTAGCGGGTGGGGAGGGCAGCAGTTCCCAGCACTGAGGTGAGCCCGCACGGGGGTCCAGGGCCGAGGTGCCCTGTGGGGACGGCGCCCGGGCTTCAGTACCCAGTGCGGACGCCTCTGTGCACCGGCCTAGGTGCTAGTTTCCTGTGATCTCTCTGTTCTAGGCACCTCTACACCTACCTTTGGTCAGAACACCCCTGCCTCTGGGGTGGGCACATCGGGCAGTGGTCTCTCCTTTGGGGCATCCTCAACACCCAACCAAGGCTTTGTTGGCGTCGGACCTTTCGGTAAGCGGCAGGTCTCCTCGCCGGTGTGACCTGCTTCTCCGGCGAGGGAGGGGTGCTTGATAGGTTTCTGGCTCTGGGGGCCCTTGGGAAAGGTCAGGCCCGAAAGCACAGGAAAGATGTGGCCTGGCTTGAAGGCCAGCATAGCCCAAGAAGGGAGTTGGAGGGAATGTTCCAGACCACCGGAAAGCCGGGTAAAAATGCCTTCCTGCTCGCTTGCAGGTGATCTGGGATTCTGCGTTTTTCCTAGTGCTTCCCCACGCTCCCGTTCCCCCAGCAACTGGACATGGTTTGGGGAGGCGCAGCCTAGTACCCAGCCTTCTGCTGGCCTAGCCTTGCGGAGACGGGGTGCCCGGGGAAGTGCCTCAGGCAGCAGCTGCCTGATGAGACCTTGTTGCATCTTTCCAGGCTCGGCGGCCCCTTCCTTTTCCATTGGTGCAGGATCCAAGACTCCCGGGGCGCGGCAGCGGCTGCAGGCCCGCAGGCAGCACACCCGCAAGAAGTAGCCTTTGTCCCGTTCTGTCCCCCTCCCCGCCCAAACGTGGACCTCAGCCCCTGCTGGGAGGAGCCTCTGACCCTTGTAGTGCCGTAGAGCAACCTCCGCCGCCCCCACCTTCGGCCTCCGCCAGGGAGGCAGCGGCAGCCCTGGTGGCCGCGCCCGCTCCTCGAGGGGGAAGCCTCGGGCCTCTGAGGGCGGGGGCACAGGGCAGCTCCAGCGAGGCTGGAGAGCGGGCGAGGGCATCTGTACATACGTCCCCTCCTTTCCTGACTCTTCTGCGGCGGACGCGCGTCGTCAGGCGGCCTCCCTCCTGCTCCCCGGAGGGCCAGCTCGGGGCGGGGGTGTCGCGGGCACAGCGCTTGCCCGCGTCACTGCTGGGCAGCGGGGGACCAGGGTCGGGGAGCCGGGTCAGCCCCGCAGCTTTTCCGTGCTTGGCTTGCCTGTAAACAGTGGTCGTCCCCGAGTCCCGTTAGGGGACCGTGCTTCCCCACTTCTCGCTGCTCTGTCCCTCCCCGGGTCCCTGTTAGGTGACCCCGACCCCGAGTTTGGCTTTGCCTTGGAGAGCCCGGCGGGCGCTGCTCCCGCTCTTGCGCGTCCTGCCGAGTCCGCGTCCGCGTGTGGTCCCCCGCCCTCTGCCAGTTTGGCCCCGAAAGCTTGGTGGCTCGAGACTGTTAGCCCGGCAGTGCAAGGGCAGACCCCTCGCGCCGGGGAAGCGGGGCGAGCGGGCAGGACGGCCCTCGTTGCCCCCCTGCCCGCGCCCGCCTCCCCTCCCCCGGGCCGTATGTTTAAAGCCTCGTCCCGTGTTCGTCTGTTGCTCGCGGCGGTTACTCTTTGAATCGAGTTTGGAGGAAGAATCGAACCGTGTGCGTGGCGGCATGTTGGCAGTGCCGGACTCCGCTGTGTCGCGCTTCTGGGGCGTCGCTCGTCGAGCGTGCAGAGTAGCGCCACTTCACGCTACACGCGCCCACGCCGGGGTTTCCCGATGGTGTTTTCGACTTTAAGGGCTGGTAGCCCAAGAGGATGGGGCTGAGGGGAAGCAGAGACCTCTTCCCCCTGCGGTTTCCCTCCCCCCCGCCCCCGCCCCCCCCCACCCCTGCCGTGAGCTAGACCCACCCCGGGACGTGGTAGAAACCAAAACTAAGGAACCACACTTCAAATTCAGGTTCCCCCTCCCCTTCACCTCTGCTTCCTTCGCCCCCAGATTACATCCCCTGGGCCCAAGAGCCTCGCTGCCATGCCCGTCCTCTTTGGGAGAAGTATGAATGCGTGTGTCTAAATTAAAGAAAAAATATTTAAACATTTTTTAACAAAATAAAAATTTATTTTTGTATTTAAGCTAAATTGCCTTTTAAATTCCTTCAAGCTTGGTTCACTGAGGTGGTTACGTATAAACGCTATCGACTAGGAGTTAGCTGTAGAGTTCAGTTCGCCTGCGCCAGAGGCTCCAGCGCTGTCCCAGGCAGCTCTCCGGAGGGGCCAGCGCTCCTTCAGGACACACGATACAAAATGTAATTCTTATTTTATAAATAATGTGACGTAGATGTAAGGAGTCCCCCCTCGCCCCGTGACTGAGGTTGAGTGCTGTGGCAGGCGACTGTCCCTCCCACCCCCGGGGAGAGCAGGCCGTGTGTCCCTGTGCGTGCAGCCGAGGGGGAGGCCTGCACCTCGAGTCCCCGGTCGCTGTCCGGCTTGGGGGCTGGGGCACAGGTCTGGACCCCGAGCTTCCAGGTGCCGGATGGAAGGTCGGTCCTCCGAGTCGTAGTGCCCCGAGCTGGTTTACCTCCATTCCACAGGCAGGAACGCTGGTTCGGGAGCCCCCGGGGGTGTCCCGGCACAGCCGGAGTGTGTGTGCGTGTGTGTGTGTGCGTGTGTACATGGACGTGCACTGGACAGGGACGGGAGGCTGGGACTTTCCATGACAAATAAAGACTTGATTCCTGTGAGTCTAGTTGGAATTTTTCGTATGAATGTGAGATTTTTCTCCTTGCTTATGTCATTAAGAATTAAAAAAAACTGTGATCTACCGTGGACCATGTCCTGCCTTTTATTTCCGCGGCCGGGACGGCACTCCCTCCCCGGCAGGAACGCAGCCCGGGGAGGGGCCCCAGGACAAGGAAATCCACTGTCTCCCACGCTGGAGAGCCAGGGTTACCGCTTTCCTTCCTAGAGCGGTGACCAGCCAGTAGGAAGGACGGAGCTGTCACACACAGCTGCTGGCTGAGCCGCGCGGAGGCCCGGGCTCTAACTGCTCCCCGGAGCAGGCGCGGCTCCGCAGACCTGCGGCGTGCCCGGAGCGGAGGCCGGGCGCCGTCTCCTCCTCCGCCGCCGCCGGGCTGTGCCGGCCGTGAGTTCGGATGCTGCTGCTTCGGCCTCGGGGACCGAGCTAGAAGGAGAGTCCCTAAGTCACTTGCAGCCTGGTCCTCCAGCGCTTTCTATGCAGCCCCCGCCACCCCACTCACCTCGACACCTCGACCCGTTCCAGAACAGCGACAAAGAAGCCACCAGTGAGTGTGGTCTCGGGGGAGGCCCGGAGGCAGTGTTCAGCCCCTGGAAAAGTGCCCAGGCCTCGGTGGGGCCAGGAGGGTAGGACGGGAGCTAGCCTGCGGAGGAGGATGGCAGGGTTGTGAAGAGAGCAGACCCCTCCCCGGCACCCCGGCGGCCCCCCGCTACCTGAAGGCCCCGGGGTTCTGCTGGAGGGCATCCCACACCACATCCTCGTTCTCCTCCTGGCACAGGGAGCACGTGGAGTAGACCAGGCGCTGCAGGGAGGGGAAGGTGAGCGCGTGGCGCAGTGCTCGCTGCTGGAAGCCAGCCAGGGCCTGCAGGCGCGCCTTGCTTGGGGTGTCTGCCCCGGGCTCCTCCAGCGATCTGGCTGGCATTCCTGAGGACAAAGTGTCAGCTGCAGACGGCCTCCGCTCGCACGGAGGTCCCTGCTGCACAGGTGAGAACGCTGGCCTGGGTCAGCAGATGAGCAGAGTCCGAGCTACACCGGAGGCCAGCGCGAACCCCAGAGCCGCAGGTCCCTCAGACACCCTCTGTCCCCATCTCACCTGAGCCACTACAAGAAGGGTCCAGTAAGATGTACTGGACCTGACGGTAGCGCCGGTCGGAGGGGGAGACCGCCAGAAAGTCCTCCTCCGCCAGCTCGCAGCACGAGACTCCAGCCCGGGCCAGCAGGGTAGCCATGGACGCCAGCCGCCCGGCGTCCCGGTCAAAGGCAAAGATCTTCCTGGGGGACAGGGGACCGCTGCAGCAAAGCACCAGGCGCCCAAGGGCCCTCAGATGCGACATGCAAGAACACGTCCACTCAGGACACAGGACCGTGTCTGGCCAGCGGGACCTGAGCGGGGGCTTCCGACCTCACAGCAGCGCCCCCACGGGAAGCTGGGCGTGGGGCCCCCCACCCACCGCTCCAGGTCCTCTCAGCCTTCACGCCCTACTTGGACCACGGTTCGCACTTCCCAAGGACGCCATTCCCCATTCCCGCTGGCGGCCGAGGCACTCACCCCTGGTTCCTGAGCAGAGCGGCCAAGTGACTGGTCTTGTTGCCGGGGGCAGCGCAGGCGTCGAGGACGTGCGAGCCCGGGGGAGGGGCCAGCAGCATGGCCGGGAGGCAGCTGGCCTGGGGGGGCAGAGCGAGGCGCTGGCGCATGGGGACCCCGCGCCGTCCGACCCACGCGCACGCCCCCTTCCCGTCCACCTGCCCCACCTTGTCCTGCAGGATGAGGTGACCGGCCCGGTACAGGGGGTGGTCGTGCAGATCCGTCTGGGCCGGGAACACCAGCAGCTCTGGCAACACGGGGTCCAGCAGAAAGCACTTCCCTTTGAGGGCCCGCAGGTCCTCGAGGCTGCCAGGGCACAAGAAGCACGGAACGTTCTGAGCCCCCGGCCGAGCACCGGGCTGGACCTCACGTGAAATGCTCGTTCACGCGACAGATGCCGCAGACTGCTGCGGACAAACGGACGGCTGGTGACGGAGGCAGCAGGTAAGGGAGCGCGTGGGCGCTCGGGCCAGCCCTGGCCCAGGGTCCCACCTCCGCCACCTTCCAGCGGGGGGCACGGGGGCAGGTGCCTTCTGTCCACCCCCTCCCACTTCTGGGAAGCGGTCACGGGGAGAACTCCGTTACTCCACGCGAGATGCGTACAGTATCCGGCACGAGTGAGGCGCTCCAGAAATGCATTTTTTTTTTAAAGATTTTATTTGACAGAGATCACAAGTAGGCAGAAAGATAGGCAGAGACAGAGGCGGAAGCAGGCTCTCTGCTGAGAGCCTGATGTGGGGCTCGATCCCAGAACCCCGAGACCATGACCCAAGCCAAAAGCAGTGGCTTAACCCACTGGGCCATCCAAGCGGCCCAGAAACGCCAACAGTTAAACACCCACCTCGGGGGGAGGGGGCAGGGGGCGCCGCACGTGAGGGGCGCGGGTGGAAGCCCCGCTCCCCGCACCTGAAGGAGCACAGCACAGCACACGCCCCTTGCCAAGCGGGTCACAGAGCTATCGGGGGGCAGAGCCAAAGCCAAACCCAAGCTTCCCTACGTTCCCTGCCACACCACGCTGGCCTCCCAGCAGCAGGCCACAGGCAGGAGGGGACAGGGAGGGAGCAGAGGCACTTCCCAGAGCTGTCAAGCCGCCAGGAGGTGGGGGGTGCAGGGGAGCACCCGCCTGGGGACAGAAGCCGGGGGTACGGCCCAGGAGCCCAGGAAGGGCCTTCGGCTGGGAGCTTCCTGCAGCCAAGCACAGCTGAAGTCCAGTAGTGGGGAGACCCGTTCGGGAGGTTCTCCTGCCCGTGAAAACAGAAAATGACTCGCAGGGTCCAGGAGGACAGAAAGGTACAGCGGGCAGGACGGGCACGACGGGGGCTCGGCTGCTGGCCTGGCGGCCATCTGTTCGCTGACGACGGGATGCTGGAGGCGCAAAGCGCAGGGACGTGGGACGCGCCACACCTGCAGACCCACATACCCAGTCCCACATCCACAAAATGAAGGACAAAGATCCCGATGGTCTCCTCTGACAAGAGTCAACATCCACTCATGACAAAAACTCCGCAAAGCAGGTGTCGAGGGCACAAACTCAACACAACGCAGGCCACGTGGGAAAAGCCTGCGGCCACCCTACTCGGGGGTGAACACCTGAAAGCCCGTCCTCTGGGATCGAGAACAGGACAGAGATGCCCCCCGGGCCCCCTTTACTCAACAACCCAGTCAGCACAGCAGGCAAGATAACGACGAGGCATCCAAACCGCAAAGGAGGGAAGGACGCCTCCCCACGCAGAGGGCAGACACGGAAAACGCCAGCCAGAAAACTGTCAGAACTTCTAAGCGGATTTGGTAAAGCAGGACCGAAAACCCACGTACAAAAATCTGTTGTGTCTCTTACACACAGACAACTAACTACTGGGCGGTCACAGAGATGACGCGGCCACCGCCGGGCACAGGACCCGGGCAATCCAGCTCCTCCCGCACCCCGTCCCTGGGACGTGCGTCCTGCCTGCCTTCCCCACTCCCGGAGCCTGCCCAAGGACACGGCCTTGAGAGAGTGACAGGGCACAGAGACCATCTGGAGGGCAGGAGACCGAACCCGTGAAGGCCTCGTATCAACTGGGAAGATTCTGGCAGGTGGGCGTGGAGACGTCTTGCTGCAGCCCCAGACAAGCCGCCCAGCTAAGCGTCCTTGCTCAGGAAGCCTGTCCCCGGCCCGTCCACAGCGGCCCGCCCGCCGCACCGCAGGGCCCGTTCGGGTCACCCACAACCACGGGGCAGCCCGCCGGGAGACCACGAGCACACGGTCTGTAGGGCTCCCTAACCAGCTAGCGATCTCTGTGTGGTGCGGGGTGGCCCCTACGTCCGATGCTTGGGGACCCCTGAGTATGGGGGGACCCCGAAAGCGCAGGCCGCTTTAATGGACTTACTGGAGAAACTACACGGTGGCCCTGCCGCAGAGCAAAGCGGGGGGGGGGGGGGGGGGGGGGGGGGGGGGGGGTTTGTGCTGGCAGACGGCCAAACTGCTGCAGCACCCCACGTCGGCGGACCCCTAATACAAGATGCGGGGGCAACCCCGGCCAGCAGGGCGCCCCCCCACCAGCTCGGGAAACACTCGTGGAGAGAGGGTCTCCTCCCTCAGCTTGTGGACGCGGCTGCCAAGTTCCAGCTAAAAGCTGGGGGAGCACCCCAGGGCAGCCGGGGCGGCGACGGGCCCGCGGCGATGGCTTCTCCCTGGCTGCGGGAAGGCGACAGAATGAGCCTCAGCCCCACACACCCTGCCCTCCAGCAGGGGCCAAGAGGCACACTTGTAACAAGTTCAGGGACTTGTGTCCTCGGATACTGGATGATTCCAGCCCGCAGGGGGGCTTGGCCCAATGAGGGGGGCCTTCCTGGGCACGTGGGACCCCAGGAATCTATACAGAAGTACAACAAATTCTTAGGGAGCTGTGAGTGGGACGGGCCATGTGCACCCGGCTCTCTGGAGGCCCTGACGGGGCCACGTCCCCGCAGGAAGGCGCCAGCTCCAGGCGGCCCCCAGCACGGGGCACGGGCTGCTCACAGGCATGTGAGCCCACCTGGGCAACACGACGTTCGGGGTGCTGCGGCCCAGAGCCGGGACCGAGGGGAGCTCAAAAGGCCACCCCCACCCGACCGGGAAGGGTCTGGAGAAAGTAACCCGGAGGCACGAGGACCTGACCTCACTGCTGTGGCCCCGCAGCGGTCAGCCTGTAGAAAGCCTTAAAACCTGAGCGACGATGCCCGTCAAGAAAGTCCCTCGACGCTGCCAACTGGGCACCCTCTGCCTGAGGACACGGGGGTCTCCCTCCCCAGGACTAGGGAACACCCCAGGTCCGGCCGCCCACCAGCTCGACCGCGTACGCGTGAATCCCACCTGAAGGCCGATCAGACGCCGCGGGCAAACGAGACTGCGGCCCCCGCAGAGGACGATACTCCAGGCACAGGGCAGAGGAGAAACCCTCCAAGAGCGACCCTGAGCGGCCGCCACACGCCCCTCCCTGGCACTTCCCACAGCCTGCTAGAGCCCACAGATGCACGTCCCGGCTCCTGGGGGTGACAGCAGAGCACCCGGAGCCGAACAAGGCAGCGGCCCCTCTGCACATGCTGCGCCCAACACTGCCACCGTCTCAGACACCGAGGCCACGGGCCGGGGAGGGTGCCGTGCCACTCTCAGCACGTGCCTCCGTGGTGTCCCCCTGGCCACTGAGCACAAGACCGGTGGCCTTCACGTGGGAGGGGCAGCAGGGGACCTTCCGAGCGCTGCCCCCAGGCTACCCACCCACGAGGCCCAGCATAGGTCACACGAAGGCAGCCGGAGCGCTGTCGCTGTCACCCTTCCCACACCAGGAGGACGGGCCATGGCACTCCCACCCTAGTGCTCACGTGGAAGACGTGCGTGTCGCAGGCCGTCCCGCGGGCTCTGCTGCGCGTCCGTGAGAGGCTGGGCAGTGACCCCCAGAAAATTCAAGGCCAGACACTGCCCTGAGGGTGCGGGCGTCATTCCACCGGCTGAGACACACCCCGTTCCAGACGGATGGGTGAGGCGCACGTTCATCGAGCCCCTAAGAACGAGGGGCAGGTGTGCGAGCCTGGAGGGCTCTGGAGGACTCCGTGTCCCCACCTGGCGCAGCGCCTGTCCCTGAGTCCAGCGGGGGTCACGGAGCCGCCTGAGAAAGCAAAACACTAGGGAAACGGACGGAAGCTCCGGCGGCTCGAGCTGGACCACCGCTGGGGCTGCGCACTGTGGCAGCGACGGCAGAAGGGGAGCGCACCCCTAGGACTCTGCTTCCCAGCTCTGGAGGAGAAAGACACCAGGTTTCCCTGCCAGAAAGCAACAGCTTCCAGTCGTGTGCGCCACGCTCCCCCGGGGATAGCCCCCGAGGGAGCAGCACCGTGGCGGCCACGGCCGCAGCCAGAACGTTCTGGCCGGTGATCGCTCCCCAGCCCCAGCCCTCAGCCCCCCATGCGCACCGCGGGTGGCTCTGAGGGGTCCCCCCTGTGGCGCGGACAGTGGAAAAGCGGAGGGGTAGATCGTGAATGAGCCCTTGCGGGGTCAGGATATATGAAAAGACGGGGGGGTGGGGTTCACCGGGTTCCACGTCGGGGCTCCCACGGCAGCACGACCCCGCCCGGCGGGCCGGAAGCTGACGACAGTCTGGCTCCCGGGCCAGCCCCAACGACCTCTGGGCAGCGGCGACTCGGCGCACAGACGCGGGCCCGCCGCTGCGCCCCGACGGGAGGCACCTACCAAGGAAGCCAGAACGCCCTGGAGATACAGGGACCGGTTAACTGCTACCGTGGCCCAGGTGTTCTCAGTCCCACCCAAGGCAACGGGCAAGGCCGCCAGACTGGCGCCTCCCTCCACAGCGAGCACTCAGCCATCCTCCGTGCAGGTGGGGACCGCCTTGGCCCCACCCGCAAAGAGCCTGGGTAAGCGTACTAGACCGCGACTGGGGGGTCCCGCCGCAACAGTCCCGATGTGCAAGTGCACAGAAGGACGCGACGCCGCATGCAGGACCCGTCACCGCTCTGACCCGCAAGCGGCCGGCCCAGCGGACAGGATCCGAGAGCGGACGCCGTTACTCGGGTCCAAGCTCCTTGGCTAGTGGGACCAAGCGCTGCCCCAGGCTCTAACACACCCGCACGAATCGGGGCTGCCGCTCTGCGGGCCAGACTGGGGACCCCCGCCCGGGCAACTCCGTGCAGGGAAGAGCCGCCACCCTCTCCCCGCCGGCCGCGCGCTGTGCTGCTGAGAACGCCGGGCCCTGCGCTGGGAAATGCGCGCTGGGATGGGACCTCCCACCCCTGGGCCGGGGGAGCGGCCGCATCGCCTGCAGGATCCAGCGGCCCCTGCAGAAACCGCTCCACCTGGAGTGGCACGCGCGCTCCGGAAGCGGGAGAAGGTGGGGGTCCCGGTCTGGCATGTTCTGCTCCCCTCTCCTCACACCTGGCAGGGCTGCCTCCCCTCCGCCAACGTGGAAGGAGCGCTGCCAGCCTCCTCTCCTCCAGGCGGGACAGCAGTGGCCGTCGTCTCCCGATGATACCGTCACTTGGCACCTGTTCCCTGCACGGGGCGGCGAACACGAAGCACCCACGGGAGCCCCTGCTACATTCCCCCGGCACGCGGCGAGGGGCCCGCGCTTCCGAACACTGAACGGTCTTCGATAAGGAAAGCCGTCTGCCCCAGCAGGACGCACTTGGACGTGATTACGGCTTCACAAGGCGGCACCTGTGTTTATACCTGACGAGTCCGCTCACGTGCCATTTATTAAATCACACAAGGACTCGAGTCAATGGCCTGAGCAATGGCGCCTCCAGCCTAGGGGATATTAATAAATCAACGGTTTGGATCTGGGGGTGCTGAGAGGTGTTACCACTGATTTAGGGAATTTCGGGGGGGGAGTTTGTTTTTTTAAGAATTTATTTATCTGGGGCACCTGGGTGGCTCAGTGGGTTAAGTCTCTGCCTTTGGCTCAGGTCATGACCTCAGGGTCCTGGGATCGAGCCCCACATCAGGTTCTCTGCTCAGCGGGGTGCCTGCTCCCTCCTCTCTCTCTGCCTGCCTCTCTGCCTACTTGTAATCTCTGTCAAATAAACAAATCTTTAAAAAAAAAGAAAAAGAATGAATTTATCTGAGAGAGAGCACATGAGCTGGGGGGAGGGCAGAGGCAGAGGGAGAAGCAGGCTCCCCACTGAGCCGGAAGCCTGATGCGGGGCTCGACCCCGGGATCCTGAACTACCAGAGCTGAAGGCAGACCCTTAATGAGCCACCCAGGCACCCCTGGGAAATTGTGGTCTTAATCTGTTTTCTCCTGCTTGTGTCCCAGCAAGAACTGGGACCCGCCCCTAATGCGGCCATCCACCTCCGTGCTAGTGAAACCCCTGCTGAGCACTCAGGACACATGGCAGAAAACAGGGTCATCTGGGATTTTAGAGCTGGTCACAAGGGTTGGAGTGTTGGGGAGGTCACTGAGAGCACAGGCCCGCCGGCTGACCCGCCAAGCTGGACCCCGGCAAACGGAGGTGGCTCCTCACCCCTTTCCCTGTCTTTGGAATGTGCAACCTACTTGCCTTCCCCACCACAGGCTGCCCCAACGACAAAGCCTTGAGACAGTGACGTGGTGTTGAGATCACAGGGACCGCGAACAGGCATAACTCACTTTACCGCATTTTGCTCTACTGACAACGCTTTGCAGATAGTGAGGTTTTGTTGGGTTTTTGTTTTGTTTTGTTTTACAAACCGAAGGCCCCATTTTCCCAGCACTATCTGCTCCCTTCTTGTCTCTGGGTCACATTTTGATAATCCTCACAATATTCCAAACTTTTTCATGAATACAGTGTTTGTTACGGTGACCTCTGATCAGTGATTATGACTCACCAAAAGTTCAGGTGATGTTTAGCATTTTTTAGTAATAAAATACATAAGTTGTCTTTTCAGACATAACGCTCCTGTACACTTCGTAGACTACACTATAAAATAAACCTATCTTTCATGGCCACTGGGAAGCCAAGAAATTCACCCGACTTGCTTCATTGCAGCATTCTGGAACCGAACCCACAGTACCCCCCAACATGGGCCTCCACGTGACTGAACCCAGTTAAGGCCTCTCTAGAACTATTTTTAAGATTCTGGTGGGGGCGGGGTGCAGGGATCTACTCGTCTTCTGGCTTCCCAAGGCAAGCCTTGTATGAAGCTCCCTTATTACTAAACCTGCCACATGTCCATCTGGACCAGCCCGCCTCTTTCTTCGTTCCTTCTCTGGCCCTGCCCCGTGCGTATGGGGCCTGGTTTCAGATTATACCTGGAAGGCTCCCAGGGAGTTTGCAAACCAATGTTATCAGAAAAAAGAAATTAAGAAAACAATCTCATTTACACTCGTATCCCCCAAAAAACCCAAAAAACTAGAAATAAATTCAACCAAGAAGATCAAAGACCTGTACTCTGAAAACTAAGATACCGAGGAAAGAAACTGAAAATGACACGAACGAGAAGCTGTTCGACACTCATGGAGTGGAAGAATGTCGTTAGAAGGTCCACACTACCCAAAGCAGTGTACAGAGCCAGTGCAACCTCTTACCAAATTCCAATGGCCATTTTACAGGTACAGAACGATCCTAGACTTGTATGGAATGGAACAGCCAGGCCGTCTTAAGCAAGCACAAAGCTACAGATCTCACACTGACTCCAAACGACATCACAAAGCTGCAGACATCAACACACACGCAGATCAATGCCACAGAACAGAGGGCCCAGCAACAAGCCCGTACTTGTACGGCCGATTAGTTTGTGACAAAGGAGCCACGAACATACAACAGGGAACAAACAGTCTCTTCAATAACGGGGTCAGGAAAATGGAGGCCACGAGCAAAAGGAGGGCACTGGACAAAGACGGATGGCCAACAGGTGCATGAAAAGGTGACCGTCACAAGTCATGAGGGAAACGAGCATCGAAACCACGACGAGATGTCACCTCCCACCTGTCAGAACGGCTGTTACCCAAAAGACAAGAAACAGCTGTCGGTAAGGATATGGGAATCAGGGAAGCCCCCTGCGCCGCTGGGGGTGACGAGGACTGGCACGGCCACTGTGGAAAACGGCACAGAGGCTCAATACAAGTTCAGAGCTGGAGCCTACCGTATGATCCAGCAATCCCATTTCTAGGTATTAATCCAAGGAAAAGGAAAACACTAATTCAGAAAGATACCCGGCCCCTGTTTCCTACAGATGTATAATCGCCAAGACCTGGAAAACCCTAAATGTCAACCGTCAGATGAATAAAGAAAACATGTAACTATGTACACGTATGTGTGTGTGTATAACACACGTGTACACGCACACGGGAATATTTTTCAGCCACAAAATATAAAATCCTGCCGTCTGCAACCACATGGATGGGCCCTGAGGATCTTACGCTAAGTGAAATAAATCAAAGACAAACACTATGTTCTGAATCCTATGTGGAATCTCTTTAAAAAAACAAAAAACCAACTCATAAAAACAGAGAACGGATTTGTGACCGCAGGGAGGGGGAGTTGCAAAGTTTGTCAAAAGCACAAATTTCCAGCTATAAGATACGTAAGTCCCAAGGCTCTAATGCACGGCACGGTGGGTGACACTAAGAGCTACTGCACTGCGTGCCTGAAAGATGCTAAATCTTAAAAGTTCTCATCACAAGAGGGGGCACCTGGGTGGCTCAGTCAGTGACGTGTCTTCTGACTCTTGATGTGGGCTCAGGTCATCTCAGAGGCCTGAGACGGAGCCGAGACCTGCTTCAGCACACTAGGTACGAAACCTGCTTGAGAGTCTCGCTCTCCCTTTCCCTCCTACTCCTCTTTTTTCTCATCACAAGAGAAAAAAACTTTCTGTATTATACGTGGTGACGAATATTAACTAGGTAGTAATTATTATGCAGTATAAGTCAACAATGTGTGTTTAATAAGCACATGGTTTTGGAAGGATTTCTCTTAAGTCGTGAATTCTGAATAAACAGGATTTTAAGTTAAGGGCTGGAGAAAGCCAGGCCTTGGAAGGAGAGAGAGAAATTGCTGGAAAAGTAGGAGAAAGCCGGAGAGCCGTCACCACCACCCCTCCTCTCTCTTCCCCTGGATCCCCGTTTCCCAGAGCCCCCAGCAGCCAGGCAGGGTTCTCAGCTCACCTCGAAGCCCGACCCTGGTAGGAGAAACCTTGTCTCTTGAAATAATCAACTGCATCATCAGGGCTGGTCTTGAGGGTGTTCACACGCACGAACCGAGGCACCTGCGAGGCTAGGAAGCGATCGGCGGTGAATGGGCAGGACCGAGGCCCTCTCCTCTGGGGGCCTGGGAGCTGCCCTCCTGCCCACAACGCCGTCCAGCTCACCCGTGCCAGGCCTGGCTCCCACTTGCAACAGGTCCTCGTTGCGGCTCACCCGGCGCTGAACCTTGAGCCGCGCCAACTCCGCTTTCAGCCTGGCCTGGTGCCGCTCTAGCACAGGTCTCCAGCGGCCCCCGCCCCCCCTAAAGCCCTTCCCCAGCAGCAGCTCGTACACGAGCACCTGGGGATGGGGAAAGAACGAGGGACAGCCCTAAGTGTGCGCGTCTCGGAACGTCACAGCGCTGAGCGACCACTGCCGAGGCAGCACCGGGGCCGAGCGAGGTGTTCTGCCCGAGACCACAGGGCAGATGAGCGGCAGACCGGGGAGCCCAGCCCGGTGTCTAGCTTCCCGGTCCCGAACCCGGTCCCGAACCCTCTCCCCAGGGCTGCTCACCGGCCCAGCTCCGCTGGGCCTCCTCCGACCCTCCTCCTCCTCGTCACCACCACCCTTGTGTTTTAGCCAGAGTCCCCGCCGCGGCTACTCAGCATTTCCCGTCTTCAGCCTTCACGCTAGGCTCGGAGGTACAGCTCGCTGACCCCGCCTCAGCGACCCGGCGGCTAGAGACGCTCGCGCGCGTCTGACAGAGGCCACTCGCGAAGTCGCGCCGGGCACCGTGCGGCGCTGACGCCGGGTCCGCGGGGGCGGGGGGCGGGGTGCTCCCAGCCCAGCCCCGCCCCCCCGGCCCCGCTACCTTGGCCAGGTGCGGCCGCAGCTTCTTCTCCGCGCGGAGGAGGCCGGCGCCGGCGATCACGGCGTCCAGCACGGCGGAGTAGCGCTGCGTCTCGCACACCAGCGCGTACAGCTGCTTGACGTTCTGCGCGCGGCCGAGGGGACACCGGCTGAGGCAGGGGCCCCCTTCTCGCCCCCCCCCCGGCCCCAACCCCCCCGAACCCCGAGCCCCGCTACCTGGAAGCTGCTGGCGTACACCAGCCCCTTGATGGAGCCCCGTCGCCCCTCCACGGCCGCCAGCACCGTCGCCGCCGTCGCGTACAGCGCCATGCTGCGCTCCCACGCGCCTTTACGGCTGTGTCGCGAGGCACTCTCGCCTTGGCACCGCCCCGCCCGCCCGCACTTCCGGGTCAAAGGGCGCGGAGTTCCGACCCGGAAACCCCCGTGCTCTTCTAGGACTTCCGAGCCCCGCGTGTGGTGAAGCGCTGGGAGAGCGATTTCCCCCTCCTCTTCGCACCGCTTCTCTTTTTTGATTCCGATCTTCGTCAGTCCGACAGGCGATGGGGCTTCCCTGCTGTTTTGTTACAGAGGTTGATATTGTGTTTATTGATCCTTTGTGTTATGTTGGTGTCTCTTGGTCACTCCGTCTCTGTGTCCTTTGTATATTAACAATATATATCTCGTCTTACGTATATTTTTTACAGCTTACTGTTGTTTCTTTAAAACACTTTTTAAGCTTTTTTTTAAGATTTTATTTGGCGGAGAGAGATCACAAGTAGGCAGGGAGGCAGCGGAGAGAGAGGAGGAAGCAGGCTCCCCGCGGAGCAGAGAGCCGGATGCGGGGCTCGACCCCAGGACCCTGAGATCGTGACCTGAGCGGAAGGCAGAGGCTTTAACCCACTGAGCCACCCAGACGCTTCTACTGTTGTTTTTTAATGTTTGTAGTTTGGGGCCGGTTTTCATATTTTTAAAAAATGTGGTTTCTGCCTTTGATGTCATACTTGGAACCGCTTCTTCACACCTTTACAATGTAGCAATCACGATGGCTTCATTTTTTCCCCACACTTAAATCTTTAACCATTTAGAATTCAGTTTGGCACATGATGTGAGGAAGAGCACTTTGTTTCCAAACGGTGGGCTTTCTGTGCATTGTAATAATTCCTTTATAGTAGTTTCCCCAGCTGATCTCTGGGAGTACAGGGATTTTGTAGGATTTGCTTCTGTCCCCAGCACCCGTGGGATTACTGGTACACATTAATTTGATTGAATCAATCCAATACATGAGTATCTCAAGCATTCAAGTGGACAGGCCTCCGTAGACCAGAATACACCTGCCTGTGCATTCTCTGTATCACCAACAGCACGTCAGCATTTTGCAAGGAAGTTGACTCTAGTCTACATCCAAATTGTTGAGTTGTTTAAACGTTTCACCCAGTCCTGTAGCTCTAGGTGGGTTAATAGTGATCTTTGAGTGGAAACCCCACTCCCAACTGAATAACATCTATTTTGTTTTCTTCATAGCACCTGTTCCAGCCGCAGTCATGATTTATTCTCTAGCTGGCTCCACGAGGGCAAATCCTTTTTGACCCTCATCTATCTGTACCTCCCAAACCAGTGTTCTCCTCGCAGTAAAGACCTAGCATCTGCTGCGTGACGGAAGGAGGGAATGAGCGGTGCACAAAGTGGTGTGGACAGCCGGACAACCAGCTGTGCCACGTAATCCACCCTAAAACAGTCCCAATCCCCACTCCTTCGGGTGAATGGTTAACAAGTGCATCAATATTAATAAAGTCCATAGAGGATTCAGATTTTCTTGGCTTTTACCTAATGACTATTTTCTGTTCTTCAGTCCCATCTAAGACGCCACGTTAAATTCAGGTGTCATATCTCCTTGGCTGTGACGATTTCTCAGACTTTCCTGGTTTTTGATGACCTTGATGGTTTTGAGGAATCCTGGTCAGTGTTTTGTAGAATGTCTCTTCATTGGGATTTGTCTGATTTTTTTCTCGTGACCAGATTGGCTTAATGAGTTTTTGGAAGACTACAGGTAATGTACCATCCTCATCAGATCTCATCAAGGGCATATAGTATGAGCATGACCTTGACTGCTGATGCTAACCTTGATCACCTGGCTAAGGTAGTTCTTCATCTTTCTCCACTGTAAACTAGTCTTTATCCCTCTGTTCCCTCTGGGAAGGAGTCACTATGCACAGCCCGCCCTTTAAGGAGTAGGAAGTTACACTCTCCCTTTCTGACGGCAAAGTAGCTACATAAATATTTGGAATTCTGCAGAATTCTCTCTTCTCCCGGCTTTATTTAATTAGCCATTATCATTATGGACTCATGGATATTTACTTCATAATTTAAGTTGTAATTCAGTACAGGAATCCCCTGCTTGCTTGCTTGCTAAGATTCTATTTATTTGACAGACAGAGATCACAGGTAGGCAGGGAGGCAGCGGAGAGAGAGGAGGAAGCAGGCTCCCCGCGGAGCAGAGAGCCCGATGCAGGACTCCATCCCAGGACCCTGGGATCATGACCTGAACCGAAGGCAGAGGCTTTAACCCACTGAGCCACCCAGGCGCCCCTCCCCTGCTCTTTTTAAAGTATGTTCCACGCCCAGCATGGAGCCCCATGTGGGGCTGATTTCACCACCCTGAGATCAAGACCTGAGCTGAGATCAAGAGTTTGATGCTCAACTGACTGAGCCACCCAGGCGCCCCATCCCCCACTTTTTGAAAGTTTGCATTAACACCACTTCATTTTACAAAAGACCTACAGTAGTACCTGTTTTCGCTAACTGAAAGAAAGCCTAAGAGAATTTTCACTTTATTGAAAAAGGGGAAAAGTAAAAATAGTACGGTCTCGCCACAAGCCCCCGTAGAGGCAGCACGCACCCCATGCCGGGATAGAGGGGCTGCCCAGCCCTCTGCCCTCCACCTCTCAGCATCGGCCTCCATAGCTCTCAACTGTGCTTTACCTTGATCGACCACGTGCATCCACTCGCAAGACGTAGCCGAAGGTAAGAGAAGCTTAAAAGCAGTTAATTTGGGGTGTCTGGGAATGTTAAATATTTCCATATAAAGTAATGGTAATCGCTGCTTATTACTCCACTTCAGCGAAAGACAACTCAAAGTATGAAGTAAATTGCACAGAAACTCTACCTACTGACAGTGGGGAAACACGTACCATTTTATTCTGTCGCTCAACTTTTTCCCATTTGGCCACTGGGAGTGCTTTCAGTTGGCTCCCATGTCCCTTTGAAAGGCCTCTCTTACTGTAGGGTTTTTCACACCCTTGTTTGTGAGCGCTTCCCGGCACTGCCAGCAGCTCACAGCTTAGCATGCTTCCTGCCCCAATCCTAGAACCAGCCATTTCTCCAAGGAGCCCTGGTCCCTCTCCATTGGTGAATGGCTATTAGAAGCCAAGATGTGGACGCTAGGTGACCTGTGCCTTTTAACGTCTAAGACGTGACCACTAGGAAAACTTCAACCTACATACGTGGCTGGTGTGTATTTCTGTAGGACAACCGTTTTAGCCTCCTCTACCCTAAAAATGCCTTCTCTTAATCCCACCTTCTCTCAAACTACTGACTCCGTTTTCTCCCCTTCCCCATCCAGTGGCTTAAAACAAAAAGCAGCAGTGACCGCCTTCCCTTCGTCCTCACGGGCTACATATCTCCCTGCAGTCTGTCTCCCGCACTAGTCCACAGACTCGGCTTCCTCCAAAGCCACCGAGAATCTCCAAATACTCCGCAGGTCTCGCCTGCTGACGCTGGGGCCTCGCGGCACCGCGGGGCACAGCTCCTCTGCTGCGGAGCTCCGGCTTCCGTCCCCTCCGCCACTGGCACACCCTTCCGGTTCTCCCGTCGCGTCTACGTTCCCTTGGCAAACCTGCTCTAAGCTGCTTCGGCTCTGCTGTCCGTCTCCGACCTCCTTCCCGCGCTAGTTTTCTCCGCGAGCGGCCCTCGCGCTCCCACGCTGTCATTACTACAGAACAGGTCACGTGCTCTAGAGCCGCACCCACGGCCCTCCCCGGCCCGCCCCGGCTGCAGCATCCCTCCCTGGACTGGACGCCCCACAGCTCTCCTCCTCTGCTCGATTTCCCCTTCTTTCAGCTGACATGCCAGTCCTCATAACGAAGGGACTGCTCTCTCGTCTGCCTTCTCCGTATTGGATGGATCTCCTGGTTCCAAGCACAAACACGGACCCCCGGGCAGCGAAACACGGCGGGAGGTACTGAGCGAGCGCACAGGTACACCACGGTGTCTGTCGGCATCCGGGGGCAGAGGCGAGCGCACAACATGGTTGAGGTGAACTTAGGGGGTCTTTACAGAAGGATGGTCGGAGTTGAAGGAAACTAGAGGTGCCGGGGACAGACAGCACCGCTCACTGCCAGGCCTGCAGGAACAGGAAGAGCAACAGAGGAAGGAGCCACCTGCCAAGGACCCTTAGGTGAGGAAAGCTGCCAGCCCACAGCCCAGCAGCCAGGAAACCCGAAAAACAAGCACCTTGAACTCCCTTTCCTGCCCTTGGATCTCCTGCCAGTCCCTCCCCTCCCCTGAACCCAACAGGAAGCCAGAGGGTTTTGCATTCCATTGGGGCCAGTCTCCCAGGATGGAAAACTGGGTGGAGAAGGGAGCGGGGAGGGAGAGTGGACATACAGGGCCGTGACCTTCAGCCAGGTCATGGAATTGAAGAGCTGCACAGCCAAAAACCAGGTCCGCAAGGCGTCAGCCACCACCACCCAAGGTGTCGAGCAGCAACTACCAAGGCCAAGGCCCAACAGATTCAGCCAGTAAAGATACAAGCACCTTTTAATTCAGACAGCTTCTTACTGCCATAGGCAGATTAGCCAAATGTGCCACTCCACGTAGTCCCTGGTGCCCACAACAGGAGGACTACGGCAGGGCGTGGGGACTTCCCGTGGCTGAGAAGCCTGTTCCAGAAGCAGTTAAGCGGTTTTACGATGGGTCTACAGCTCTACCGGAGGGAGGCGGCACAGGAAGTTTCACACTTCTCAGAGCCTGGAAGGCGACCTCTGCTGACGGTCCCCCATGGGATGAAGTCAGTGCCTCCCAAACCTCCCATCCTCCGAGGTTCCCAGAGGATCACTCAGGCTGCAGGTCCGGCCTCCGCCTGTGTGGCCCACGGGGGTAAGTGCCAGGGCCCAAGGACAGAGCGGTTCCCCAGGGAAGTCGCCCAGCAGCTCCACAGAGCTCTAAAGCACCAGGTCTCAGATGACTCAGCCCAGCGGAGCTGGAGGACTCTTCCAACTTCCAGATTCTTGGGTGAGAACTCCGCTGTCCCAGCTTGGGTCTGGAGTGGGCACCATCAGCTGCGGCCGTGAACAGATGGGGGCTCTGGGCCGGCTCCCATGTGCCCAGCAGCTTTCGGGATAGGCCACACCCCCCAGGACCCTACTTGCTTCTGCCCTGAAGTGTTATTTCCCTCTCAACTAATGGAGAGGGGAGAGGGAGATCAGCAGAGATATTTGAAGACAGCAGTAACGGGGTGACTGACGTGACCAACCACAGACCAGCTGGCCCAGGGTAGAGGGGACTTCCGGCTAACCAGAGGCTGGAGCTGATTTTCAAGACCTGAGCATAAACTAGTATGTGCGCAGAGCACTTAATATTTGCAAACCATTTCAAGAGAAAAAGAGGGTCACAATATCCTTAAGTTCACGATGACAAAGAGAAATGAGATGTGGGAATGTTTCCACCTTCTGTTGAAAGAGCACTGAGCAGAAGGCGTGGTTAGGAGGGACCGAGGGAAGCCGATCTTAACCCACAGACGCCACGGCCTGGTTCTGTTGGTTAGTAAGCAGGTGAATAATCCGGCAAAAAGGTTAATAAATATGCCCCTGGCTGACAAGAAAGGAATTGGGGTCCTTTTCTTCTTATCATGAGATGTTTCCAGGAACAACAGGCAGGAAGACTTTTCCAAACAGTGAAGAATGTCGTCCCGGCTGGCTGAACCCAGCAGACCCACCAGCAGCCCTACAGCTTGGTGGGCTGCGGGGGGCTGAGGTGGGCAGGCCCGCTGGGCGGGGACAGCACCATCGGGAGGGTGTTGCTGCCCCTTTCGTGCCAGCACGTGTCCAGGATGGGGTAGAGCTTGCCCTGGAAGTCAGCCTGGAACGTGTAGAGCAGCCGCAGGTCGTCGGGGCGGTCAGCATCGAAGAAGGTGAGCTCCCCTCGTTCGTAGTGCAAGTAGACGCCGATGCGGTGCGGGTGGCCGGCCACAGGCAGGGGCACCCGGGGGCAGCCGAAGGCCTCATACACGCGGCCCTCCTTCAGGCCGATGAGCCACACGCCGTTCTCCGGGGACTTGCTCAGCTTGCCCTTGCGACTGGCCGTGCCCTTGATGACCCCCAGGCGCCAGTCGCTCTTGTTGCCCACCACGACCTCCCAGTAGTGGCGGCCCCAGGAGAAGCCCCGGCTGGCCAGGACGCACGTACTGTAGTCAAAGCGCTCCGGCTGGCTGGCCCGCCGCTGGGCCAGGAGGCCGCACTGCACCACCGTGTTGCCCTTGGATAGTTCCAGGAGGGGGTGGGCGGTGGCAGGGTCTAGCCTGAGGGACTCCGGGGCTGAGAAAGATCAAAGAAGCATTCTCAAGCTACACAGAAGGCGGCATATGCCACCACAAAGAAGTCTGACCGGAGGCCCCGAGCTCCTCAGGGGAGGAACTGCAATGCCCCCCCCCCGCCGGTGTCTGAGCGCACTTCTAGGAAGGGGCCAGGCACAGAAGACGCAACCCTAAGGATGTCTGCTGAGCGCATGAACAATTCCTGAAGGGTGGGAGAAATGGACTGCTGTGAGGAAAAGGGCGTGCACCAGGGGCGCCTGAGTGGCTCAGTCCATTAAGTGTCCCACTCCTGATTTCGGCTCAGGTCATGGTCTCAGGGTGTGAGATCAAGCCCCATGTCAGGCTCCACGCTCAGCAGGGCGTCTGCTCGGGATTCTCGCTCTCCCTCTACCCCTCCCCCAACTTGAGAGCTTGCCCTTTAATAAAATCTTTAATTTTTTTTTTTTAATTACACAACTTGTCTTTAGCCAGTAAGAGTTGGAGCTGAGCTTGATCCCGGCATTTCTGGTGGAACCCCAAAGCCAAGCTCTCACCACTAACCCGTGCAAAGACCCTTCCAGTCTTCCGCGCGCCCCCTGCAGGGCAGTCCTCAGCAGAGAGAAGGGACGGAGCCTCACCTGGCAGAACCTTCCGGAAGAGCCTCTTCCACACGGTCAGCTTGATGTCAGCCTGGTGGAGGCCTGGCTTGAAGGAGATGGGGCTGAAGGCGCCCTCCAGAGGCCGGGCCTGCTGGAGCTCTGCTCTGAGGGGGACAGTTCACGATGGCGGAGCTGCACGCCAGCCCCTCCCCTTCGCCTTACCCAAGTCCAACAAGCCAGTCGCAGCTTAGCAGACTGTGCACTCGAGATGCCGGTCATTTCCTCCCCTCCACCCCGCCCTGAGCGCCTGCCCCCTTACCGGAGGGAGAAACACTACATCAGGGCCCGTGGGCCCAAGACCAGGAGCATCCCCTGGGGGCTTGCTAGAAATGCAAACTTCTCAGGTCCCACCCCAGAGCTGCTGAATCAGAAAGTGACGCCTGGAGCCCTCCAGGTGGTCCTGACGCACACTAACATTTGAGGACCGCTGCCCTACCTTCCCTACACCGCGCAACCCTGGTCCCTAGCCACAGCTGGAGCGCACACCTGCTCCCAACCAGCTTCACCGTCCGTTCATTTACACCAACGTTCCTGACCCACCTTAAGACTGAAGGGCATTTGAAAAACCACGGAGACTCTCACAATCAGGGCCCGAGGAAGGCCAAGAACTGAATGGTTGTTCATTTCTCGGGACCGGAACATGGGTTCAATCCCTTCCCAGGAGCCATGGTTCGGGATTGGTGGCCCTCCTCCCGGCTCTCGCCTCTCCCATTCGTTGCCCGTTCTGCCCCGCGGCACACGTTTTATCCCAGCCCCACACCCTGCTTCACCTTTTCACGTGACCCTTCCCCCCCCCTGCTTGCCTGGCCAGCACCTGTCCCCTGCCCCAAGCCTGTCCCCCTGGGCGTCAGCTCTGCCAATTCCCCCCACCCGCAACCCCAGTCACCTTGTCCTGTTATTTCTGTAGCTTGTGTGGGCTTCTATGGCTTTAGGTACCCACAGCGATGCAACCACAGTTCGCCATCTGCTGCCCATTGGTCTTTGAGAGCCTTGAAGGCAGGGTTCCCTGGGCTCAGGACAGAGCCCTAGGTGGGCAGTTGCCGCCAAGGCCCCGGTACGCAGAGAGGAGCCACCAGATCCAAGCTGAGAGCTCCCTCCGAGGTTATTACCTGGAGGCCACGGAGTGATACTTCTGGAAGACAAGACAGAAGGGTTACGGCATTGGGGAAGCCCTTGGGACCTGCGGGCCTCGGCGTGGGGGACATTCCCTTGTCCACTCACCCGGATGAACTCGTGGTGACTCTCATTACTGAACTGCTCCAGGACGCGCTCGGCCTGGACCAGCCGCTCCTGAGTGCCCCGGGCCTGCTCTAGCTGCATGTCCAGGGAGGCCACGAGGCCGCGGGTATGACCTTCCAACCCCTCCAGGCATCGGGCCTTCTCCTCATCCACCAGGTGGTGCAGCTCCTGGAACTCGCGCCGAATCACCCAGCTGAAGATATCCGATTCATTCTGGGATGAGGAGGAGCTGGTCAAAGCTGGAGCCTCCGCCAGAACCGCCCGGCTATGGCTGGCATCGGTGTCCCTAGGCCAGGGCAGCTGAGGCCTTCCTGGGCCTCCAACTGGAGCTCCTTCTCAGAGTGGAGCTGCAGGGCTCACTCCTGCCCCGTGTTCGCACTGTGCCTGGGCCCCCCATGTGTGGCCGGGGGAGGGCAACAGAGGCAGGGGTGAGGCTGGCCCCGGCTCCCCTTTCAAACACACTGGCTCTGCTCACATCGGCCTTAACTACTGCACGTGCAAAGCAGTTTAGCTTCAGTACAGGATCCACAACTGAAAAAAGTCCGCGAGGTTCTGGGACAGCAGACTTTAGACAGTCGGATTCTGTGTGAGACCCTGAGTTCAGCCTCCACTGGGCACCTCTGAGGTGGGGCGGTTAACCGAGAAGACTCAGGGGACACTGGCCTTCTGCTCCTGTTTCACAACTGCCAGAAGAGCTGGGGCTCCACACGCCCCTGGACTGTGTGGATGGAACTTTCTGGGATTTGTCCTGCAAAGCTGGCCACCACCCGCCAACCTGCGCTTACGCCCAGGCGGGAAGAAGAATGTTGTTTGTGAGACTCCTGCACAAGTGACCTTGGGAGCCTGATTAGTGGACATTAGCTGGCTGTCGGGTCAGAAGTGGCCCTTCTGGTCTGGACACAAGAGCTGTAAATCCTGCCTTACATCCCCTCCAGCACCAGGCTGGGCTGGGCCCCTGGAACGGAATCCGGGAGAAGCGGCAAGCGCACGGAGCATGCAGAGACGTAAGCACACAGGAATGCAGCTTGCTCCAAAGCGCACATTGGTGAAAAAACGTTTAACTTCAGTTGCCCTATAAATACAGCCCTTACGGGTATGGTCAGATGGAAATCTCACCCGCCCGCGGGTAGGATGCTCGGCCTAGGCCGCTCTATTGGGACTCCAGCCTGGCTGTCTCCACGGGGCCTCCCCAGCAAATGAGGCTGGATGTTTTAAGCACCCAGTGTAACTCTGTCTGATTCTCCTTTACTGATTACTATGCCCTCATCAATGTGCAATTTCCCTTTTCTTCTTTCTGTTTCTACTAGATTTTTATACTCTCAATAAAGTGCCTTTTCTCTTTCAAAACTGAGAGCGTAGCTGCCGTGAATCTTTTTCAGAACACTTCCCAGCCCCAGTGTGCCTGTCACTCAGGAAAAGCAGAAAGCCACCAAGCCTTTCCACACCTCTGCTCCAAGGTACTGGGCGGGCACCACGCACACCATCAAGGTCAAACAGACACTGAGGGCATGAGGGTCATGCCCACACTTCAAGCTGTTTACCTCTGGGACTTAGGTTCTGTGTTATCTCATTCCCAAGGACACGAGGGACACGGCCAACTTGGATGGAGTCCTAACAACTGAGCTCATTCCCCTGAGGGGACTTGCCCTTTTCCCCACTCTGCCCTGGAAGGCTTTGAATCCCGGCTTTGCACTAAAGCATGGATTTCTGTGAAGAACGATGAAAACTGAGCTCCGCAGGAGAGGGAAGGCAGCCAGCCCCCGGGAAGGGTGCGGGGAAAGGGCACTCACGACAATGCGGGTCCGGTTGTTGCCCAGCTTGGCAATATGCTCATCCACCTTCTTCTGCTCCTGCTTCAGGTTGGAGATGAGAGCCGCCAGCTCCTCCTGCAGGCGACGCACCGTGGCCTGGTGAGCGGCCCCCCTTCAGCTTCTCAGCTCTTTGGGGCCAGCCCCGGCTTCACCCTTCCAGGGAGCATGCCGATGGCCGTAGGCACTCCCAGTGGAACCAGGGAAAGAGCTACCCAAGCACTCTTGACTCCAAAACAAGTTAGGATTATTCAAGAATATTCTACACTGAGGGCAGGGATTACCCAGACAGAAAAGGATCTCCAGATCATCCCTCCTCAGGACACAGCGACGGACGCTAAACACCATCCACCTGGAAGGCACCACACAGCATCCAAGAGGGGCGATGACCCGTCTGAAGCTGACGCTCCCTAAAGGGAATGCTGGCCATTGGGTACCCACCAACCCAACTCCTGGTCACCTGGAGGTCTACAGTCAATGGGCATTTGATCAAGACAACACCAAAAGTTGGCCCCAAGGAAGGCCAGTCATGCATACAGTTGCCCAGCTTGTACCTGGGGATTCTCCACGCCCTATAAAGACCTGAATCCTTCCCTAGCAGACTTGGGCCCTGCCTGGATTTGGGGCCTCCCCGGGCTAAAGGAAACTCACTTCTTCTGGGCTTCCCTGGCCTCAAATCTAACAGTCTTAAGGGTTCGACCAGGACCACCCAGACCCCCATTCAGCTGCACTACTTAAAGGGAACCCTGCTGGTCTGTGCCCATGGAACATACGCGGTCTCTGGCTTAGATAGTTCCAAGCAGAAATCAGCAGCAAGAAGGGTGCCTGGCTGGCTGAGTTGGAAGAACATGTGACTCGATCTCTTGGTTGTGAGTCCAAGCCCCACAATGGGTGCAGACATTATTTAAAAATAGAGAGAGAGAGGGAGGGAGAGAGAGAGGAAGGGGAAGGGAGGGATAGACGGACAAACCAGCTACAAAATCCTTTCAGGAAAGGAGCTGAATAAAGAATAAACCCAGGGGACACCTGAGAGGCTCAGTGGGTTGAGCCTCTGCCTTCAGCTCAGGTCATGATCTCAGGGTCCTGGGATCGAGCCCCGCATCGGGCTCCCTGCTCAGTGGGGAGCCTGCTTTCCCCTCTCCCTCTGCCGCTCCCCCTGCTTGTGGGCTCCTGCTCTCTGTCAAATAAATAAATAAAATCTTTAAAAAAGAAAAAAGAAGAATGCCAGTGTAGGGTAAATGGACCCAGGGTCTTGCTCTGGATAATGAGGCATCAGATCTCACAGCAACCCAGGGATAGAATTCCAGTGGTAATTCTCCTGAGGCACAGAGAGATGAGATTAGTTCTTTTTGTCTTTGCCCATCAAACTGGGTCACCAGGAGAAGAAACAGAATCATACAAATAAACCACCTCAAGATCTCAATCAACAGGAGGAAAACAGGAACGTAGGAAAGGGATCCAATACAGGAACACGATTTTGTTGCATCACAGAAGTCTCAGGATCACAAACACCCACATCTAAAACCAGGACCCAAGCAGTCCCAGGCTCCAAGCCAGAAATGATGAAGCTACTGTGTGTTTCTCTCCTCCCTGGGCTAGTAAGACACGGGCTCCGTGTCACTGCCCTGCAATTTGGCTTCCGCCTCTCACACTCCACTAAAACTACTCTTGCCAAGATAAGCAATCCTTCCTGCTAAATCTAACAGGCTCTTTCCAGTCCTCAGCAGGCATTTCACACAAGTGATCCTGTTCTCATTAAAATGCTCTGTTCTGATTTCCAGGAACCTAGATTTAGCCACGTTCCTACTCTCTCTGTTGATTCTTTCTGTCCCTTTTGGGGTGCTCTACTTACCTGAATCTTTTTTTTTTTTAATAAAGATTTTATTTATTTATTTATTTGATAGACAGAGATCACAAGTAGGCAGAGAGGCAGGCAGAGAGAGAGGAGGAAGCTCCCTGTGGAGCAGAGAGCCCGATGTGGGGCTCGATCCCAGGACCCTGGGATCATGACCTGAGCTGAAGGCAGAGGCTTTAACCCACTGAGCCACCCAGGCGCCCCTACTTACCTGAATCTTAAACCCATCTTCTGTGTCTTCCCTATCACCTGCAGGCTCTTCTGGTGGGTCGTCTCCCCTCCTGCGGCTTCTATCACCGCCCATATCTCATTACTCCTAGTCTCCTACCCATCCCCAGCCTCACTCTCCAGTCCACTCTCTGGCAGAGTGCTCCGACCACATCCCAACTCTGCTTAAAACCCTCCAGTGTCACCCCCAGCCAGGATGGTCCTCTGAATAAACTGCAAATCCCTTCACATGTCACACAAGCCTTACCATGACCTGGCTTCCACGTACCCAACTCTCCCCTGAGCTCAAAGGAACAACTTACCATTTCTTAAACACCCCTCCCTCTTGATCTCTTGCAGGGCTGTCCTTACACAGGAAATGCTTTCCTCCCCTTTTTTTCCTTTGCTTCAGGTCTTGGTTTAGCGGTCTGCTTCCTCCAGGAAACCTTCCCTGACCACCTGAGACCATGCAGGAGCTACATTCGAGACGGTCTCCCCATCGCCTGTCCTTAACCCTGACAGTAGCACCTGACACATGCTATTCTCTGCCAGACTCCCAGGCTGTGAGCTCCCCCAGGGTGGGCCAAACCTCTTGCCCATTATTGTACCACGGGCTCTAGCACAACACTGAGCACACATTAGATGCCACGTAAACCTCTATGGGCAAGAGAGGCTGCTGGACGGCCACGCTGGCTGTGCGTGTTTCATACTTGTCTTCCAGGACTGGAGAAGCATACAGAGGCTCTCCCAGGGCACTCAGCCAGGAACCCCTGGCACTCTGCCTTCAGATCGCCAGGCTCTTTCTTTTTTCTGCCCCATCACCTGTATTTTGTCATTCCTGACCTTGACTCTCCCTCCCTCCCACTGTGCCAGATGCCCTCTAGCAACTCACTTCCAAGAATCCTTCCTGCCCTCCTTTGATCTGCTGGCAGTGGAAAGAAAACTAGCCACAGTTTGAATCCACACTCTGCCACTGACAAGCTGTATGACCTTACCTTCTCTGAGCCGGTTTCCTCATTTGTAACGTACAATGATACCTCCACCCCCTTCATAAATCTTAAATCAACGTATTTACCTAAGACGGCATCATCATCATCATTCATCTTAAATGAGGACCTGCTGGATCTGAGGCGAAAGTCCACAAGGACAGGAATCCACTCATCTTCAAATATGCTTTAAGCTTTTACTACATGCTAGGCATGGCAGTAGGCATGAAAATACCTGAGGAGGGGCGCCTGAGTGGCTCAGTTAGGCAGCTGCCTTCTGCTCAGATCATGATCCCAGGGTCCTGGGTTCAAGCCCCACATTGAGATCCTTCCTGCTCAGCAGGAAGCCTGCTTCTCCCTCTCCCACTCCTCCTACTTGTGTTCCCCCTCTCACTGTGTCTCTGTCAAATAAATAAATAAAATCTTTTTTAAAAAAAGAAAAAAGGGGCACCTGAGTGGCTCAGTGGGTTAAAGCCTCTGCCTTCAGCTCGGGCCATGGTCCCAGGGTCCTGGGATCAAGGCCCGCATCAGGCTCTCCACTCAGTGGGGAGCCTGCTTCCTCCTCTCTCTCTGCCTGCCTCTCTGCCTACTTGTGATCTCTGTCTAATAAATTTTTTAAAATCTTAAAAAAAAAAAAAAGGAAGAAAGAGAAAGAAAAAACCCAAGGAAACAAAACAAAGCACTTGCCCTCATGTGTCTTCTGGGGAGCACTCAAAATATGAATGAGAGCTACCAGGAAAAACCGAGCAAGGGAAGGGGCTAGCACTTGACAGGGGACTATCATGCAGGCCAGGAGTCCCCAGCACCTGGAGACTGGAGCAGCTGCTCAGAACATGATGGATGGATGGATGTTCTATGAATTCTGCTGCAGCAGAGGGCTGGAGGGAACTGGCATCTTGGCCCGGGAACTTTCTGTGCCAGGCAATGGTTCCAGAGAGGGCAGGAGCTGGACTCAGTGTGTCCCTGTACCACCAGCACCTGCCGCCCTCCCTCGCTCACAGCAGTCTCACTACCCACCTTCATGCGGCTGTAGACTGTGGAGACGGGTGTGACACGGTGATGCTGGTGGGAGCCCAGCAGGCCACAGAGGCCACAGATGAGCTCCTGGTCCCTCTCACAGAAGAGGCTGAGCGGGTTCCGGTGGTGCTCACAGACCTTGGGCTCTGGGTCCCCAGGGAACTGTAAGGCTTCAATCACCCGTGCCAGGGACACGTTGGGCGGGGGGCTGCTGCTATCCACCTCCTGTCGGCACACTGGGCAGCGGAGCTCTGAGTCCAGGTGGCGGGACAGGGACACCAGGCAGCCCTTGCAGTAGGAGTGGCCACACGGCAGCATCATGGGCTCCTTGAAGACCTCCAGGCAGATGGGGCACTGAAGGCGGTCCTCCAGCGCAGGCACACTCACCTGCCCCGCCATCCACCGTACCCGGCTAGAAGAGAGGGCAACTTTCTCAAGCCTGCTCCCTCTACCCCCTGAGCCCCATCTCCAGGCAAGTTCCCCTGGAAATTAGACTGCCACAGGCACTCCAGTCCTGGATTCCAAACCCCTATGACTGGGTCTGTTTTCTGTCTCTAAAGCAAAGGGCTTAATTAGGGGAAACTCACTTGGAAATATAGGATTCTACATTTTCCACCCAGATTTGGAGGTAAACACAAAAAGGGCGGTCTTCAAGGTCATTTGGAGTGTACCAACAACATGCCCTCCAGCTACACAGACCCAGAAATGGACAGCAAAAGCAAGCCAAGGTCCTTCCCACATTCTAGATCAGTTCTCAAACTGGAGAGCAGCTGTTGGAGGTGCAGTTAAAAGAGACCCCTGAGTCGCCCCTTCACATATTTCCAGTGAGCCCCAGAAATCTGCATTTATAACAAACACCCCCCTCCAGGTCATTCTAAAGCAGAGACTGCGGTCTTAGCCACACTGTTCTGGAGAACCTGAGACCCTGTGAAAGCGGACTGGCACTGAGAGGAGCGTCAAGACAGAAGCCGGCAGCAGACCTAGGGAGAGCCCCCACAATGAACTACCTGCTTTCTCAGAATCTGTGGAGATGTCCCCCAGATCTGCTCGGTTTGTTTCTTCTTGTCCGGATGGGGCAGAAGCACTAAGAGTTGTAGGAACTGGAGCTGAACACCTGCTCCACCCTGAGTCTCTGCTCCTTTCCTCCCCACCTTTCCCAGCAACACCCCTGCGTCCTCAAGGTCACTCAGAATCAGGTGGACGCCGGGCCACATCACGGGACTTGGGAAGCAGCGTCCTTTCGGCCAGCAACGCTGATAATTCCAACATGCAGGTGCTCACCTTGGCCACGGTTTGAGGAAGGGGGGAGACTGAGTGGGCCCCCAGCCACACCTTACAGACCCCAAACAGGAATGGACTCATGCTTTGACACAATTCTTTCTGAATCCGTTTTTGAGGGTATTTTTATACACTTTTTGAGACGGAAGCTCTATAAAGGGCGCAAATCTTAACCACATGCTTGATGTACACATTACAATGTGTACTCACCCTCAACATCAACATACAAATGCTTCCAGCACCCACAAGGCACTCTATGTGCTCCCCAGTCAGAACCCAGGATAGCTACTAAACTGATTCTTATCATCACAGATTGGCGTAGCCTGGTTTTGAATTTCAAATAAACAGAATTACCCAGTATGTGCTTCCTTTACTCACTTCCTTTGTTCAATATTACTGAATTACCAACTTTTTGTATAAAGTCTTTCAAAGATTTAGAAATTTGATGACATTTCTCTAAATAGTCAGTAAATATTATAGCCTTAACATACTATGCAAAGCATGGGACTGTGGTAAAAATCATTGATTGGGAAAAAGGGTGGGAGTGGGTCTCTCGGAGCATTAAGAAACAAGAACTCTGGGACGCCTGGGTGGTTCACTCAATTAAAGCCCCGGCCTTCGGCTAAGGTCATGATCCCAGCGTCCTGGGATCGAGTCCCACATAGGACTCCTTTATGAGCAGGGAACCAGCTTCTCCCGGTGCCTGCTGTTCTTCCCGCCTGTATATTCTCTCTCTCTGACAAATAAACAAACAAATAAATAAAATCTTAAGGAAAAAAAAAAAAAAGAAAAAGAAACAAAAGCCCTAAGGGTGCCTACATGGCTCATTCGGTTAAGCCTCTGACTCTTAGTTTTGAGTCAGATCATGATCTCATGGGTCCTGGGATCAAGCCCTGCGTCAGGCTCACATTCAGCAGGGAGTCTGCCTGGGGAGTCTCCCCCTCTGCTCCTCCCCACACTCGTATGCACGCTCTTTAAAAATAAATCTTGTTTTTATTTTTTGTAAAGATTTTATTTGTCAGAGAGAGAGAGAGCGAGCACAAGCAAGGGTAATGGCAGGCAGAGGGAGAAGCAGGCTCCCCGCTGAGCAAGAAGCCCAGTGCAGGACACAGTCTCTGGACCCTGGGATCATGACCTGATGAAGGAAGACACTTAACTGACTAAGCCACCCAAACATCTCAATAAATCAATCTTTAAAAAGAAAGTGGGGCGCCTGGGTGGCTCAGTAGGTTGAGCCTCTGCCTTCGGCTCGGGTCGTCGTCTCGGGGTCCTGGGACTGAGCCCTGCATCTGGCTCTCTGCTCGGCAGGGAGCCTGCTTCCCCCATCTACCTGCCTCTCTGCCTACTTGTGATCTCTGTCAGATGAATGAATAAAATCTTTAAAAAAAAAAAAAGAAAAGAAAGAGGAGCACATGGGTGGCTCAGTTGTCTTTAAGCGTCTTCAGCTCAGGTCATGATCGCAGGGACTTAGGATTGAGCCCCATGTCAAGCCCAGGGGTGGGGCCTACTTCTTCCTCTACATGTGCCCCTCTGCCCATATCATGTGCATGCAAGCTCTCTTTTTCTCTCTTAAATAAATAAAATATGAAATCTTAAAAAAAAAGAACAGTTTAGATGAATAAAATGGAAGGAAGGAAGAAGAGCTCTAGACCTGCAGGAACAACCCCCATAGGCCTAAGCATTCCTGTCTGCCCGCGGGGGCAGTCTCTAGTCCATGACAAGCAAGTCCAAGGTCCGGCACAAGCATCTAGAAAGCTGATTTATTAATTTAACAGATATTTATTGAGCACCTATTGTGTACCAAGCACCAAGCTGAGCACTAGGGAGACATCAGAGAACAAGACCAATGAGGTTTCTGTCCTTTCAGAATCTGTAATATTACGGTAGTAAGAGTGAAACAGGATCACAAATAAGACAACATCATAGTATCAGATGCTAGGCAGGAAGTAAACGGTGCAGTGAACAAAAAGGGCAGGAGGTAACGGGTTGAGAGACGCTTAGAAAGGGGCAGGGCAGTGTCTTTGAGGATGGATGGTTGACCTGAGGCCTGAAGGATTCAAAGATGCCAGCTACTGAGAAGACCACAGGAGGACAGACCAGGCAATGGGCAGCAAATGCAAAGCCTCCGAGGCTAGAAAGAGTTCAGTATGTATAAGCTACACTAGAGAGGAGACCTGAGTAGCTGGACCGTAGCGAGAGGGAACGCGAGGAGAGGTCAGCAGGGTGGCCAGAGAGGGCCCCACAGAAGAGGGCGAAGGTTTAGATTTAATTTCAAGGGCGGGGCACCTGGGTGGCTCAGTCAGTTAACTGACTCTCCATCTCAGCTCAGGCCTTGATCTCAGGGTCATGAATTTGAGCCCTGTGTTGAGGCCCAGAGTGAAGCCTACTTAAATGAAAATAATAATAATAGTAATCATAAATGTCAAGGGCAGTGGGAGCCACTGGAGGACTTTAAAGCAAGGGAATATCACCTGACTTGTATTTTTAAACCACCACTCTGGCCACTGCGTGGATACACAGTAGCTTTAGCACCTGGGTGGGTAGACAGTGAAGACTAATACATAAAACTTTGATCAAGGTGAAACAGTAGGTGGGAAGATCTAGAGTAAGACACCTGAGGACATCCAGGTGGAGCAACTGACGAGCCCTGGTCTGAAGACCTCGGCAAGCAGAATCACCTGGAGTGCTTGTGAAAACACAAGCTTCTGACTTCTCGCCAGTTCCTGATTCAGGAGCACAGGGTGGGCTCAAGAATTTGCATTTGTCGGGGCGCCTGGGTGGCTCAGTGGGTTAAAGCCTCTGCCTTCGGCTCAGGTCATGATCCCAGGATCCTGGGATCGAGCCCCCATCGGGCTCTCTGCGCCGCAGGGAGCCTGCTTCCTCCCCTCTCTCTCTCTCTGCCTGCCTCTCTGCCTGCTTGTGATCTCTCTCTCTGTCAAATAAATAAAATCTTTAAAAAAAAAAAAAAAGAATTTGCATTTGTAACAAGTTTCCTGACAACCCTGGTACTGTCTGGGAACTACACTTTAAGAACCAATGAAAAGGGCAACTGGGCACAGGAGCCCTGTGCTCTGGCGCTCGGGGGAGGCTCTAGGCTGGGCCGGTATATGCTACCTGTTTAAGTACATCACATACTTAAACTTGTGGGAATAGCTAGGGTCTCTCTGGGATTAAGAACAGAGAAGGGCAAGCTTCTGAGAACAGAGCCCAGAGATGCGTAGATAGATGAGGAAGAAGAGCGTGGATTGAAAAGATAC